TCGATCGGAGGGCTGGCCGGCCGGGGAGCATTAGCCACGGGGTTTGGTTAGGGTTTGGGGAGAAGAGCTCGGCTTTGAAGGCTGATGTGCCCATGGGCGGCAGACCGCACAGAATCCGATGCAGGAGGGGACGGAGAGCTTGGCCAGCATCTCGGCCATGGCGTCGGCGGGGAGATTATTCCAGTGATCCGCCATGGATTTGGGAGAGGGGAATTTGAGTCGACGCTTCAAACCCTAGTCTGAGAAATTTGGAAGCAAGAATTCTACATGGCTAGTCATTTACAAGAGCCCTATCCAACCTCCACCAAACCCTAGCATCATGGTCTTGTTTGTTATTCCAGGTAAAGAAACAACCCAATGTTTTTAGATGCAAGAGATGGTCGTCCTCAATGAAAGAATTGAAATCCTTTATATCAGCACTTTAAGTGTAATACCTCCTAGTTTTTCATCATTATTGATCATAGTATTGGAATCCCCACATAAAAGTCATGGTGTATTTCCAACACTCTGATACTCTTGGAGGAGATCAGTCCATAAAGCCTTCCTAGAATCTTGTTGATTAAGACCATAAATAGAAGGAAAAAAAATACAATTTATCCTCCCATCCATTGTTTTGACAGTGCAGGTAATGTGTTGAGGAGAAATGTAATCAACTTGTATATTCAGTAAAACAGGATCCCATAAAATTAGTATTCTTGCCTTTTCTGTGCTTGACACATTTGACATCCATTTCCAATTAGTGACAATTTTCTTTGTTATTGCTGGTATTTTAGCCTCCTTTACTTTTGTTTCTAGCAAGGCAATGAAAGAAAGATGATACCGTGAAATATGTTGTCTGATCAAGTGTTGTTTAGAGGACTTGTTTAGTCCCCTAACATTCCAAAAAGAAATATTCATTTGGTTTGATCCCCTCTATCCATTGTAGAGGGATCAAGATCACATACTATTCCAGCTAGAGGAGAGAATGAATTAATAGGTGAGAGCCTCTTATTACTTTTTCCCCTTTGTATTAGCATCCAAGATTTTCCTAAGTGTATATGAGTATCAGAATCAGATTGTGAAACATGTACAACATGCACATGAAATTTTCCTGAGTGTATATGAGTATCAGAATCAGATCGTGAAACATGCACAACATGCACATGAGATTTTCCTGAGTGCATCTGAGTATCAGAATCAGATTGTGAAAATGCATAACATGCACGGGTTTTTCTCCAGCTGAAACATTTCCTGAGCTCAAGTTATCACTAATTTTCCTCACCTGCTCAGCATGCATTGGATTCCTCTCATTTGAAAAGTTGCCAGTATTCTTTCCAACAACATTTCCTAAAACCTGTTCAATCCCAGCACTATGCCTTTGAATAGGCTTCTGTACAAGTAAATCAGGAACATGCAGGACATGAGTATCCTGAAGGTGTACAGCATGCACAGGGGAAATAACTGATTCCACTCCAGTTTTTTTCCTGAAGGATCTGTTTTTTGTTTAGGCCTCCATATTTGAAATCTTTCTTGTTTCCTACACTGTAGAGTGTCATGACCCACAATTTTACATACTTCACACTATCTAGGCTTCAATTCATAATACACCTTCTGTAGAATATTTTTCCATCTGGTCCTTTAATTGTAATTTCATCAGGAAGAGTAGAGGGCATGTTTACTTCCACTAAGACTCTAGCATATGCAAGTCTATGCCTATTAGCTGTAAGCATATCAGTAGTAATTAGCTTTCCTATAATGCTAGCAATTTTGCTAATGCTCTTTGCATTCCATAGGTTCAGCCTCAAACCTGGTAATTGTATCCAAACAGGGTAAACACTCTCATTCCTTTTCTCCAAGTCTTCATCAATAGTCCATGGCTTCAAGAGTATAGGCCTGGAACCAAAGAACCAAGGTCCATTCTCCAAAATGCTTCTCATATCATCTATATTTTTGAATTTGAATAGAAAAAGACCAGGTTTTAAGAGAAAAGTTTCAGGCACCGCCAAATTCCCCTATATTTTCTGCACATAATTTTCCATTGCCTTGAACTTAGCATTTAGACCCAAAATCTGGCCATTTAGAGAAAACTTCCAAAAAGATCCCCCTTCATTCCATTACTCTTCATCAAAGGTTATTGTATCTTTAACATCAGGAGGTATGTAATTCAGGCTAAAACCATTTCTAGGTTTTCTATTATCGGCAAAAAAACTCACCCAGTTTTTCTTTGCCATTGCAGGATCTGGAATTTACACATTAGCGGCTTTCTCAAATGGCGGGAAATTTTTTCATCCAAGAAATCTGTTTCTGAACTAATTTGGGAAAATTTATCAACAGATTCAGAATTTTCCCTATCAAGATTCCCAGAGATTTTATCTAGAGTCAAAGAAGAATCCAATTTCAAAGAAGTATCATCATTTAGGAAATCCGAGTGATTCTTGGATGAGATATCTAATTCAAGATCGTCTGCCCAAGAAATTCAAGAAGAACTACATTCACCAGTTTCAGAGTTCAAGGACTTACTTAGTTTTCTCGACTGAAATCCAAATACCTCAGGAGTATTTTAGAAGTGTGAAAAGAACTAATAACTTTAAAATTTATTAACAGTAAAAAATTAAGTTGTATATGTTAAGTTACAGCAAAATCAAACCGCTACAGTTGCAAGTGGCAAATTTTAAACTTTGAAACAAACAAATGCAGCTGCAGTTACATGTAAGAAGAGTTGCAATATTGTCACAATCGCATGCAAGCGACACTTAAGGTAATGGAAACATAAATCTCAGCGAAGCCAAAGGGCAAGACAAGCAAACAATTCTCGGAAACAACGACAGCAGCCTTATTATTGTTGACGGGTTTATGCTTTAATAATTTCTAAGCGGAACAACCACCGGGACCACCAACGTAAGCCGGAGCATACGCGTGGTATCCTCCATAAGGGAAACTATAACAACCCGGTTTACTCTGGACTACGTCCGGTGTGGGAACCGCAACTGCGTCTATCTCCGTGAACACGAAAGCATCCTTAACATACGCTGCCCTCTTGTCGCCGTCATCAGGAGAATGGCCGCTTCCCATCGGGGGAGCCCTGTCGCCGGGGTGATAAGAGACGAGGCCACCAAATTGGACGACAGTAGCGGCTTCCAGAAGAGACTTCGGCCAGTGGCCAATAGGTTTGTCCCCATGGCGCCCAGCGTGCAGCACCCAGTCTCCGGTTGTTTTATCCTAATTCGTAGATCAAACGAGCAAGCGAAAACAAATCGTAAGATATATACAGCATGTATTTTTTAGTCGTGAAATAAATATGGAAAAATTATAAACGGGGGTATCGTACTTGAGTATTTATCATAATAAACACGCTAAAAGGTAGTTTACAAAATTAAACAAAAATCTTATACTGTGCACCACACTTTAATTAAAACTTCACTAAGTTGAGGATCACTTTATCAACTTTTATGCAAATATGGTACTCGAGAATACGTAGAAACAAATCGAAGTACATAACTATGCGAGAAGATTATATATCTGACCATCAAAGGGCATATTCGCAGTGTGTTACTCTACCGAAGGTTTTTAATTTTAAAGAACGTTTTTAAAACCAAGAATAGTTTTCAAATTTTCATGATGAAACAGTGACACGGTGAAGAATGAAATTGCAGAAGGCACATCCAGAACACAACGGCAAGAGACGCAGATCCATCTTCATCAGTCTTCATAAAGTATAAATGAAGAATACCAAGTCATGCATTTACCACATTGAAGTTTAACAGCATAAAGATGTTCCGCATTATAATTTATAAATAAAATCAAGTTCCCACATGTTATTTTATTGCGTAGTAAAGCCCCACAGAACGAAAACAAGGGTAGACGTACCTTACCTTGAATATTTTTAAAGTAATATCATATTGATCTCCATCATAAGTGGACAGCGGTCTAATTTTTGCTCCTAATTTGTATTTTGATTGTTTATAAGGTACAAATCCTTTGCACCGAAGATTGTAGCATCCATCACTTTGATCCCCATCAATCTAATAAAAAAATGACACATTAGAAAACATTTAAACTAATAATGCATTGTGCATTTATGATGGATAAATCGAACTACATACCAGCCAGTATGCTGTTAGATGTGTATCATTGTCACCATATAATTCTGGAAATACCTGAAATTCTCACATATTAGAAATAAGAAAAATTTACGATAACAAGTTGATATTTACCCACCTTACTTTGTTTCTTTCAGTTTCAGAATCATTGTTAATAAAATAAATATCCATAACATGGAAGGTGCCAATGCTAAAGCTAAATAGAAAATGATAAAATAAATAAAAAGTGGTTCGATTATTCTTCTTATTCGGAGAATGATACATCCTAAGTAGATTATGTCACGTAAAAGGTAAAAAAGCAAACTGATACTTCAGCTTGTAGATAGGCTCTACTTTTACGTGCATGTTTAATTGTGGGAAAAAAACTTTGAGAATAGAAAGATAGCAAATCAGTAATAAATATACAAAGAACCAATTAATTAATTTCTTCTAATAAGATTAACATTTCTTCAAATAATTTCATACTTAAATGATTGCAAAATAGATAATGTGGCATTTACGAAATTATGATATTCTTTTACTAAGGAATTGAAATGTCTTATCAATAAGAATGTAATAAAAGAATATCCAACATAAGGTTTCACATCAAAATACCACAATACCAGTACATAAATCAAAATAAAACACCACCAGAAAGAGCCAATACTTACATGCCATCCCGCGCCTATAAAGTTGAAGTTATTAGGAGGGTCAGCGTCTCCTCTGCCAACGGCAATAAAAAGCGAGCTAGATTGATTAGCACCGACATCGGGCAAGCTCCAAACACTTAGAGTTGCTTGACCACCATGAAATAGGTCCATTTTTTGACTTAGAATTGCATACTGAAAGTAGGGACAATTTAGTAGTAATCAAGTATATTCATAAATGAATCTAACAAGAAAAAATAAACATAATATAAACTTTCTATGAGAACGAGGAACTGATAAGTTAAACTACTATTTAAACCAACCTAAAATCATTAATATTTTTGTTCTGGTAACATGCCATTAGGGGTGAGCACGGTTCGGTTCGGGTCGGTTTTTACCAAAATTTGAACAACCGAACCGAACCACCTATAATTCAAAACCGAACCGAACCGTTGCAAATCGGTTCGATGCGGTTCGGTTCGGTTTGTTCGGTTCTAACTTTCATCAAGTATAACAATCAAAGGCACAAATATTGCTTGTCCCAAGAGATAATTTGTATATATTTGTTTTCATATGCGCCCAAATGCAAATCATTTGAGCCACGGCTAAGATACTTAAGCGTCGTGCACACTTGAATCAACAACTAACCCAAGGGACAACATACACAGAAGTGCTGAATTGAGTGATTAAATGGGGAAAATCCAACTCAAATAGCACTAACATACTCCAACAAGAAGCACCCATTCCACCTACTTCATGTTCAATTCAAAGACAACAACAGAGGAAATTGAAGAAAATTTAATACTACGTACCTCGAGAGGAAGGAGCCGGAGGAAAAGAGGAGACTGGAATGCTTCGAAGCAAGAATTGAGCTTCTCAAAGGGGCTCCACAGCTTGAAGTTGAGGGTCGGGTGGAGGTGGGGGTGGGGGTCGGACCCCAAGGGACAACATACACAGAAGTGCTGAATTGAGTGATTAAATGGGGAAAATCCAACTCAAAGGGCACTAACATACTCCAACAAGAAGCGCCCATTCCACCTACTTCATGTTCAATTCAAAGACAACAACAGAGGAAATTGAAGAAAAATTAATACTACGTACCTTGAGAGTAAGGGTCGGGGTCTTGGAAGAAGAGAGAGCGAGAGAGAGGGATTGAGGCCGAGCGAAATGGGAAATTGGGAATGAGTAGCGGCGGCTGGGATTTGGGAATGAGAGGAAATGAAGTTAGGGTTGAGGGTTTGGGACGGGTCAGGTAAACGCGAACGAGTTTGAAAGTTTTGGGAATATATTCGGTCGGTTCGGGTCGGTTCGGTTTGAAAAGTTGTCAACCCGACCCGAACCGCCTTACTCTTAAAACCGTTTTTTTCGGGTCGGTTCGGGTCGGTTTTTTCGGTTTGAACCGAACCATGCTCAGCCCTACATGTCATATCACGCATTTAGAGAATTTATTAATCTTAGTTTCTTCTCCCATCTACTCTTAGTAAGATTGTTTTTAAGATTCAAGTGGGCCTTATCTACTTCCTAATTACATGCAAGAACATTTCGAAAAGAAAATAATAACTCTTCCCATTCCATCTCCTTGTCTCAATTAAAAATCAAAAACTCTATATTAATGGATATGCACCTTAAAAAATCTTGCCCTACTTTACTCCCTTTCTTTTATTATATAAAGTATAAAAATTAAACACATCAACAACCAATAATACTTGGAATAGAAAATGCAGTCGAAAAGAAAGGATATAAGTGTTAATCTCTTCACTGTTCAAATTCAGAATGATTATAGGAAGTCTTTCTGGGTTTTAGTACTTATTTAAAACAGTGGATTGTGTTTCTCCTTTTGAGATTGAAATTGTTACATAAACTATTATAAATATAACAAAATAAAGGAGGATATGAACATGGGCAGAAGTATCATATTCTGAATGGTGCATGTTTGTTTAATACGCTCTTAAGAATATTGCTTGTTGATTTTGCATGAGATTGTATTTAACTAAATATCAAACTTTAAAGATGTATTAACAGACTTCATTTAAAAAATAAATTAAGATACAATTTACTTTTAAGTTTTTATTCCATATTACTACTTATACTTCTCTACCTTCACAAAAACTCTGCCTGAATCTTTTTGTCTCTCGAGATGACTATGATGAATATTTATTACAAATCAACTAAGTCAAAAGAAGAATAAAAATTATGGAGAATCTTGGACAGATGTCCTCTCTCAAATTCAACCATGATGTTTTTTGTTTGGGGGGTTTTTATGTTGTTGTTTTTTTTTTTTGTGGGGG